AAGGCTGAAGTCTGCAGCATGTCTCTGACAGTGTCTCAAGGTGAGGGTTTGACGGTCATCACCATCGCCTCAAACCCGAAGAGCAAATGGCCCGTACTGTGTCAGATTCTGGGTTTTCTGTGCTGCAGTCCAGTCTGTTCTGTGTCTCAGAATATGAAAGGGAAGCTGATGAACATCCACACTGCTCTTGGGGTGAATTAAACAACTGTCTTTTTAATACAAGACTTTCATTACAAGACTTCTGTCATTTTAAGTTGCTTTTTCATTTGTAAGGTGTGAACAAAAATCTTGTTTTTTTTTTTTATGCCGTAGACTATGCAGATAATAGTTGGAGTCATCAATATTGTGTTTGGGATTTTGCTTAAAAGCTCTAGGATATGGAATAACATTACAGAATCTGGGGTTGTTTTCTGGATCGGTGGAGTGGTAAGAATTTGTCTTATTCTGCTTATTTTTATTTTTATAAACCATTAAATGTGTAATGAGTGAGTCTATATATTAAATTTATCAGTAACAAATTTGAGAGGATGAGAAGGGAGAAATCTACTGTAAAATGCATGTGCAAATTTCCATGTTTATATTCATATTGGTTAATTTAATTACTCAAAAAAATGCCTAAAACACTTTCCTTACACCTTACATGTGAGTGTACGCATCTTAATCATTTTCAAAAAAAAAAAAGAGAGAGTAATATATACACACGCATATTAGTAGTGAACATTTCTTCACCAGATATTAACAATATTTGAAAGCAAGAGCTTCTTTAAAAATAATGTTTTATTAGTATAATGGTTTGATAAGTTTTTAATAAGAACGTTTTTTTACACTACCTGAGCAAGTTGCACAAAAGCATCAAAATGAATTTTATTTATAAAGAACATAGATCTTAATTAGTGTTGTGTTATTGACCCATATATTGCTTTTAATTTTTTGGGGCAGGTAGCGTTTAGGACTTTTTATGTATTTTAATGGAATTTGATTTGCTAGTGTTTATGTCATCAGTTGTGATGGATCCAATGCATTTTGATGATTTTGTTTAGCATAACGAAGATCTGATGAGTCAGAAAACCTAATTTACACTTTTCATTTCAATGACTGTGTTTGGACACTCAGAGGTTTTTAATGTTTTTTTAGGTCCTTGTAATTGGAATTGTGACTGTTCTTGCAGCTAAGTTTCCCAGTCCTTTCCTAGTAAGTTGTCTATCAAAGCCATAATAAACTTATCAGTGTTTTTGGAAGTTATGCTGAGCATCACCAGTTTATATTGTTTGTGTTGTACAGCTGGTCATCACAGTGATTCTGAATGTAGTCAGTGCTGCACTGGCAATCACAGCTGCTGTGCTGTATTCAGTGGACCTGGCAACTGGAAATGGTCTATATTGTGACACCAGTTATTACTCGTCTAATAGCTATGCTGTAACACCTTCCCCTGAACAGACGAGGAGAACCGAGATCTGTGTGAAGTACAAGTATCTCAATAAGGTAATGTTTAATTTTTCGTTTTATTTATTAGATTGTGTAGGATCAAATGACCAAAGTTGGGGAAGCTATTTTAGTTTGTGGTTTCACAAGCTATTGGTAATTCGAAGGTATTGCATGAATCTAATCTTTTGTAAAAGTACTTGAAGTTAGGAGGTCATATATTATAAAAATAAGTAACTATAGGATTATATAATTCATAATTCAATCACAGCCATATCACCCTGCAGCCCGAGACTGGTTGCCCACTGAAGCTAAGCAGGGTTGAGCCTGGTCAGTACCTGGATGGGAGACCTCCTGGGAAAACTAGGTTGCTGTTGGAAGAGGTGTTAGTGAGTGTTAGTGTTTGGGTCCTAATGCCCCAGTATAGTGATGGGGACACTATACTGTCAAAAAGCAGTCTTTCGGATGAGACGTTAAACCGAGGTTCTGACTCTCTGTGGTCATTAAAAATCCCATGGCACTTCTCGTAACGAGTAGGGGTGTAACCCCGGTGTCCTGGCCAAAATTGCCGCCACTGGCCCTTGTCAATCATGGCCTCCTAATAATCCCCATTCACTTGATTGGCTCTATGACTCTCTCTCCTCTCCACCTGTAGCTGGTGTGTGGTGAGCGCACTGGCGCCGTTGTCCTGTGGCTGCCGTCGCATCATCCAAGTGGATGCTGCACACTGGTGGTGGTTGAGGAGTGGTGGGAAAAAACTGTAGTCCATAAAATGCGTTGCACAAATTCGAACATCTGGGTTGTGCTGTTCTGTTGTAAATAAATCTTAACCAATGTTCCCTAATTGCATCCAAATAAAGTGCTTTTGCTTTCGCACTGAAACACAGCGTCTCTCTGACATGGCTGCATCAACACGACTGCTGTTCCTGAAACCACGCCTTCTTTCTTTGCGTGCACATTTGGGCGGCATTATGCTAATATTTCCACATAGTGACGTAGATATGTGGGGGCGTGTTTAAACGAGCCGTTTTAGGTAGGCGTGGTTGACTCTTAACTTTTATAAAGAATATCTCTTTGGATTTGAGACTTGAGTCTTTGCAACTTTACAGATCTTCTTTATGCACCAAGAGCTTGTAACACTCCCAAGAGAAAGGAAAACTTTAAATCGCATTATATGACCCCTTTAAGCATTTGGTGCTGTGATGAACACCACTGTGAATACACAAATCTGAATGGCTGTTTAAACCATAGATATGTATATATGATTTAAACCATTTAAATAGGTTTTTAGAGAGTAGTGCAGCTGCTTTGTTTACATATAACGGCTGCATTTCTGCAGTTTAGTGCCATCTGCTGTCAGAGAGTGAATGTGTTTCATCCAGAGCGTCTCTCTCGCGCTCCGCCATGCGCTTCTCATGCGTGCTTGTTTACATCAGAGCGCACACACGTCTTGACGCAGCATACAGCGGTGTTGTGCACTGTGACCAGTTGATGGGGAAAATATTCTTAAAGTGCATTCAAAATTCTGAATAATTTGTTATAAATAATTATTCTCTGTATTTTGAAGTGTCCACAATAACAATACCGTGCATATTCATTACCGTGATATATGGCATTACCGAACACCGGCACATGACTATATGTGCTATTATTAGAGCACTAGCAGTGTTAGTGTGTGTTTGTACTTGACGGTGTCCAGCTGCAGCTGTGTGCTGATCAGGCTCCTGGACAGATCTGTGGTCTCCCTCTCATGCTCTGCTTTCTGCTGCTGCAGTTCTGTCCGTGTGGCCTCCAGCTCCTTATCAGAGGACTGCAAGGCGACACGCAGATCTCGCACCTCCACCCGCAGCACTGCAGAGAGGTCACAGCAAACAGAGTCCCTCAGATCGACTACTAAATCAACATACGACTCACTCACTGAACTGCACGCTCCACGGCACTGCATCATTACTTCATCAAAGTTGAACGTTTAACATCTGAACTAGGGCTGGGCGATAAATCGATAACGGTGATTATCACGATATAATTTTCCTCGATTAAAACGTTAACACGAGTTATATTCACAAAATATATGGATTGGCTATACACACGAAAACGCAAAGGTGGCGTTTTCAGATTTATCCACTCTGGGAACCGGTTTAAAAAAAAAAATAGAGGTTTCACTGTCCTAAAACGCCGGATCCGTCTGGACGAAACACCAATACGGTACAACATTTTAAGTTAACTAGTTTAAGCCAGATAAAACAAACAGGAGCAGCACTGTGTGCAACGAATACAGTCAGAAGGCTTTTCAATCTACTAAACGCCATCATTTACCATGGATTTACTGTAGTAACACTAAATGCACCGTGGAATTGTGTCAGATATGTGTGGTTTTAACTGTGGTTATCATGATTTAAATGTATGGTACTATGGAAAAACAATGGTTAAAAAAAAAGAAAAAAGAAAAAAAAAAAAAACTCAAACAGATTAATTAAATTTCACCATATAAAAATGAGGTCGCTACAATTTTTACAGATGTTGCTGGTTTTGATAATGAACAAATTTACATCTGCATCCTAACTCATGCTACTACTACTATCAAATGTGCATTTCTAAGAGACAAAATTGCAATATTATTATTAATATTATCAGGCAACACATTTCTTGATTTGAAACAATCACTCATTAGAACGTAGAAACTAAGAAATTGATTTTTCTATTAAGGTATTTATTTTAAGGAAAAATGACTGGAAAAGTGTAAAGAATTCAAAAACGTAGTGTTTGTCATGTTCTGACCACAAAGAGTAGTTTAAAACCAAAATTAAAGGTCTGGGTCCATATTCACAAAACATCTTAAGGCTTAAAAGTAGCTCATAACTCGCCAATTTAGGAGAAAATCTTAAAAATAATGGGTGTCAATCCTAAATTTAGGACTCCTACATTTTTGCTCTTGGAGTATTTCACAAAGCATTTTAGCACTAAAACTAGCTTAGGAGCTTAAACTAGCTTAAACGTTAGCAGTAGTGAAGAGGACTCCTAAGTCACTAAGACCAAGCCACAAACTAGGCCTATCCTCCCCGCTGAAAAAAAAACAATAGAAGCCATCACAGAAATTCTAATGGTTTCCACTATAAATACCATTAAAAACCATCAACTTTTAATCATTAAAAAAAATATATTTATTTTTTGTTATGAAGAATATCAAAAACTTTAGGAGTCAGTTTAAGGTATCAGCACAATAACACACTCAGTAAAATATCGTCTAATTATCGTTATCGATAAAATCCCAGAAAAAAATAGAGATAATATTTTTTGCCAATATCGCACACCCCTACTCGGAACAAACATTTTAGAAACACGCTGCATTTATTTGTACAAATGTTTTCCCATGCATCTTTTTTTGGTTTTGGAGGTTATCCCAACTCCAGATTTTCCTTTGATTATATCCTTGTTTTCATTGATCAGCTCAGCAAGACGTAACAGCTGTTCTTGTGTCCAGTTTGGTTTTCTTTCACATTTGCATGTCTTACTATCAGCCATGATTATTCTACTCTGTTAATTAAAAGGCTGTTAATATGCATATTCACTAATTGTTTATGAGAAGCACACATGTAAGAGGCTGACAATTAGCTGAACATATACTTGTTTAATTAGTGACACTTAGCCTGCATTTTATAATCTTTATTTGAATGAGACTTTTCTTGCATCCAGTTTTTTTTTTTTTTTTTACTATCAGTCATGATTATTCTACTCTGTTAATTAAAAGGCTGTTAATATGCATATTCACTAATTGTTTATGAGAAGCACACATGTAAGAGGCTGACAATTAGCTGAACATATACTTGTTTAATTAGTGACACTTAGCCTGCATTTTATAATCTTTATTTGAATGAGACAATTAACATTTTTTTTTTTTTAAACCTTTATTTGAATACGGCAACATAATATCGCGCTCTACAATATTTCTATGAATAAATCTCTGACAGAGAGTATCAGCCAATCACTGTGTGCATAGCTAATAAGCACGCTGACATCATCCACCCTGCTCTTACTCTGAGCTGAAGACTTCTCTCTATTCCTCAGTAAAAGTGTGTCTCAGCAGCTTTGTGAACAGGTTTTAAGAGAAAAAGACCCCTCCCCTATCAGCCAATCACTGTGTGCATAGCTAATAAGCACGCTGACATCATCCACCCTGCTCTTACTATGAGCTGAAGACTTCTCTCTATTCCTCAGTAAAAGTGTGTCTCAGCAGCTTTGTGAACAGGTTTTAAGAGAAAACTCTTAGCTAAAAACTTTTACTGCTATTTAGGAGAACTCTTAGTGGCAAGATAAAATGTTTTGTGAATACGGGCCCAGATTTCTACAAGTTCACTTTCACAAATCTGCCCTTAAACTTGAAAGAAACAAAAATTTGACATGTATCGTGATAATTATCGATATCGACTGATATGAAAAAAAAAAAAATATATATATATAGTGTTATTTTTTTGGCCATATTGCCCAGCCCTAATCTGAGCTGCTCCAGACTCACCGTCCATCTCTCTCTGTTCATCTTCCAGCTGCTGCTCCAGCGTCCTGACTCTCTCCTGCAGACGCTGCTGTTCTCCCAGCAGTGAGTGTCGCTCGGCACCAAACATCTACAGGTAGAGAGCAATGTCAAACCAATGCATGGACCAGAGCACCAGAAACACCCGACACTACTGCAAACACACCTCCTCTGTGCGACTGGACTTCTCCGTGGCTGTGGTAAACTGTTCCTCCAGCTTGCTGATTTGCTGAAGCAGCTTTCTGTTCTTGGCTTCCTCCTCGTCCAACTGGCCCTGAACACGGAGAGCCTGTTCCTAAAACCCAAACCAAAAAGAAAGTTCAAACATTCCCCACAACACCATCTACAGTAAAACGCAACAGGCAATTGCACTTCAGAACTGCATCAGAAAATATTCATTTCAGTAATCAATTCAAATGATCAAAATCTTATGCAGTATTATGAAAACATGTTTTGGTTACACTTTAGTTTGGCGACCAGTTCTCACTAACTAATCAACTATGACTTTTGACTCAATAGACTCCTAGTTTGCTAGTAATTAGTTAGTAATATGCATGCTAGTTAATATATTTCTAGAGAATAACATGCACAGATTCTGGACCGTAAGATGAGGGATTTATATTATTTGCATAAAAAAAAAAATAAAAAAAAAACTTTCATAAACTACTTTGATATGCTGTTTTGAAGCTTTGCAAATCAGCCCTTAACACAGCAGAAAAGGTACGGTCCTTTCTGAGCACCTGCATTTGTTTGAGTTCTTCAGTGAGCGCTTCACAGGCGAGCTCGCTCATCTCAGGAGGCGGCTGTTCGCTCTGGATGTCATCGACGTCGATATTCTCCTGTCCATTCAGATGGTCTGGGCTAGACAGCGGCACCAGTCGATTACGCAGATTATACGCTTTTGTGGGCGTGGTCAAAATCTGAGGAGCAGCAGCAGCCATAATAAGAGGTTTCTTCTCGAAATCATTTAAAACAGACCGACGTAAAGTGCTCTCTACCTTTATGGTCTCGGCATGAATCTTGTTGAGTTGAGACACTTCATGTTTGCTGTGGGCTTTAGTGGCCTCTAGGATCGTCTCCAGATGCTTGTTGGACTTCTCGAGGTAGCGCTTCTCAGATTCCAGCTCAGCCAGCTGTTTTCTAAAGGGAGTATAATGCTCACAATGCTGCCGCCAAAGACTCAATCCGACAAGCATTTGTGACATGAACGTACTTGTTGACCTCCTTGAATTCCTCGAAGGCTTGAATTGTCGCCGTGAGCTCTGACTGTTTCTGCAGCAGCTGAACCTTCATCCGCTCCACAGAAACTGAGGACAACGTCTCCATGGTGACAGGGGTGGAGTAGATGGGCGGAGCTATTAATAGAGTAACAGTAACTTAGGTGATCTGCTTGTGCTTCAGATTTAATGATAAAGACAAACATAGCATTGCAATTATTGCGCTTTTTTGCAGTCAACACATTCACATGCAGATGATGATCGTAGCATCAATTCATGCAACAGTGGTCTTCCCTAGTTTGCAAATAGAAACAGATAGTTATAAATGTCCAATTCAAATGAACTTTTAGCTGTTAAAAGCGTCACCTCCTGTGCTCTCCTCTGTTCTCTGAGCCTCCAGCAGCTGCAGGAAGGTTTTCTCCAGCGCGGTTAACGACTGAGCCTTGGTCTCGACCGCAGAGCGGACAGAATCCAGAGCACGCAGCGCTCGAACCTCCTCCCGCAGGCCGCAGTTCTCCGCCGCATAACGCATCATCCGTGGGTGGTGCTCCACCTAACAACAACAAAACAGTAGTCAAGTCACCTTTATTTATACAAATAAATAAAGCTTTAGTGCTGTCAAACGATTAATCGTGATTAATCGCATCCAAAATAAAAGTTTTTGTTTACATAATATATGTATGTGTGGTGTATATTTTTTATGTATATATATAAATACACACACATGCATGTATATATTTCAGAAAAATTTATGTTTATATATTAAATATATTTATTTATAATATAAATTATATGAATATAAATATAGACATGTAAATATTTTCAAAATATATACTGTATGTGTATATATACATAATAAAAATACACATAACACACATATTATGCAAACAAAAACGTATTCTGTATGCGATTAATCGCAATTAATCTTTTGACAGCACTATAAAGCTTTAAACAATACTGATTGTGTCAAAGCAGCTTTACAGTGTCAACAGGAAAACAGTTTGTCAATAATGCAAGAGGACAATAACAGAGTCATTTTCCCACTAAAATCAGTTCATTACGGACACTGCAGCTGAACGTTCACACAGGTGAACATACTTCTGGTGTTTTTCAGAGCGAGTAGAAAGAGCTCTTTAAAGTCCCAAGTTATTGGAACCGTGACACATTCTCTTCTGCCTGTAAACCATGAGTGTCTTAAGCACTGTTACACAGGTGCATGTGCAATAATAGTTTATGGTTCATCAAAAAAGCAAGAAGAATATTGTTTAAACATTTTCTAATAAAGATCTGTAAAGCTTATTTGTATTTTACAAAATTATCTTTCAAATACAGTATCCTGAAAAGGGACGTTTGTTTCTCTCTCTCTTTTTTTTTTTTTTTGCAGCCGCAACTGGTAGCCAGTGCAAGGAGATAAAGAGAGGTGTGACCAGTTGATGTTCAGATAAAGGCCAGTTGATGTTCTTTGGATACCTCCCCTCCCCAGGCCAGCCTGAAAGACCTACTGCTAACATCGCTATTGAAGAACTGCTACACTACCATCTTCAATAAATTCTTCTCCCCACAAAAAATTTAGGTCAAGCCTACTTAATTTTTTGTATTTGAGAAATCTAGAACATTGGTGAGCCACCCAAAAGACTGCTCAGCAAAAATACAGTAAAGATGATGATACATGGGGCAACTTTTTAGGGTAGAAGGGGTAGTATGCATTGGCCTGTCTAGACAGATATTGTCTGGACAGGAAGTTAAAGTGGATCATAAAGTGTCAGTTGCTGTATTTACATCCAGAGATGAGAAATGGGTGGGTGAGGGAAGAGAGGATGACACTACAGAGGAAAGATGGAAGGGTGAAAGGG